ATCATATGCGGTACACATAGCACTAGTACTACGCACACAATATTGATCAGATGGTGTCTATAGCAATGCATGAAATACTACGTAGAAAACGTATTTCACTACCACACTTTTGTATAGTGAGTGGTATATCCCTATGTACGGTCAGAGTGATATTCATGTTAGTTATTGCGTCTAATGTTGTACAGAATGGTCAATCGTATTTATACTACACGGCCTTTTGTCCCATATTGTGTTTGCAGTAGAAATATCTTATATAGTGTGGTGTGAATGCAAGAGCTTCTACATAATGCTCCGTAATACTGGATGCTCTTTGTAGTCTGTGACCTGTGTAACACTAGCGCAATCTTTAATCGGTGTAGCATGAAATTTGTGTCTCTGGTGCTATAAGATACATTGCTGCTTCTAATTTTGTGGTCTAATACTGCAGAACTTAGTACTTTTGCATTTGATGTAGTAAAAATATTAGCTGCGGTACGAAACATTATATTAAACAAGTCGTACTTTATCCGATACCGAAGAAGCTATTTGTGTTTCATTCGGTCTAGTCTAAATACTAGGTGTCTATTAAATAAAATATTGTGCTGAACCTGTAATGTTTCTCATAATGTTTATAATGACATCGTATCATATGTTATGTTCTTTATGATAACCTTACATATACGTTTAGTATTACAAGCTACTTTGAACAGGTTTATAAACTGTTTTTGCACCCTTTTCTAGGAAGATCTGTCTCCAGTGCAAATGTAGAAAAGATGATCACGAACTGCCGGTGCAGCAACAGGATCCTGCGGCTCTGAGAATCGGTCGGTTGTTTGAGAAACCGACGGCTGTGAACGTCAATGGTGGCGATGCCGTAGTGACCACGACTGCGTCGATTACGGTGACGAACTGCGAGGTGAAGAAGGAAACTTTAGACGATGAGCAGCACCTAGAAGCGAATTCAGAGACTGAGGAAAAGCAGCAGGTGTTTGCTTCCCGTTTCGAGTGGCTGCCGCCGAACACCACGCCAGAGTCGGTAAGGGAATCTATGGGCTTTTGTTCTTAACTGTTACTTTCCGCACTTTCGAACTATCGAATTTTGATGAAGTTTCACGTAGCTTATTACGGTACCATTCAGTGAATCAATGAAGTTTATTTGCCTTAGCAGCGGTAGAAATTAAATACCAAAAAATATTCATAAACGCGCATAAATATAAGGAAACGAACCCGTGTCGTCCGAATGGGCATCAAGCATTATCAGTGATTGCGGAAATAAGAATAATAATTATGTATATAACGTACGATTAAAATATTTTCGAAAACTTTTGCTGACGCCGTGCCGAACGATTAAAGAAGTCAATCACTTCTGGTTCTGTGGCTGAAGACGCCAAGAAGTGAATACGTTTTTATTTGGCTGATCATCGTTTCGATCGCACATCGGTTTTCTTCATGGCACAATGACTGTTAGTATTCATAGTTCCTTTTAATCCAGATTTTTCTTAGAGGATTGAAAGACAGTTTAAGCAAGCAATAGTCCAGTGCATTATATTTTAGCTGCAGTAACAGCACCTAAAGATCTCGTATCATTTATTTATTGGCTGGATCACTTACTTTGCATTTAAATATGGGGATTTGATATTACGTTATTATAATCCAGCCAGGTATAGATAGCCTTTTTGAAACGCCATGACGGCGAAAACGGTACTTATAGTTTGTTAAGATAATCTGTTGCTTACCGTGCTTTTTAGGCAGAAATGTATATGAACCTGCTTCCCATTGATAGACGACCCATCGTAAATTCAGCAGGCGCAATCAACAGGCGCCGGGCATTCGAGCGTCAGCTGCCTCTCTATGATATTGAGGCATCGGCTTGTCATGATCTGAATGCGGACGAATTGAAGAACATGACGAAGTACACGGAGTATCTGCAGAGGGAGGTTGTGGGTCAGGGTCAGATCAAGGAGACGAGAGAAGCGATAGCGGCGGCGACGACAACCACGACTGAAATTGGGACTACAGGTCAGACAGAGGAAACGAGTGCAGCGGCTACGAGCACAATAACTGCAACAGGAACAGGAACAACAGAGGCTTCGGCAGAGCCGGAGAGCAGTGAGAGTGCCGGTGTTGCGACCGCAGCGGCGACCGTAACTTGCGTAAGGAACCTTGCTTATTTTGCCCCAAATGACTACCTCAGTAGTTCCCTTCTTTTAGGACTGTGCTTATTGCAGAAAGCCGATTGGAGTCAACGAAGTGGCAGTGATCGCCGACAGACTCGGATCTCACGTAACGACGACGAATATGAATGTGGCAGACGCTTAATGCTGACATTAAGCTTTCATAGGAGTATTGGCATCCTGGATGCTTCGTGTGTGACACGTGCCACGAACTGTTGGTCGATCTGATCTACTTCATTAAGGACGGTCGTATTCTATGCGGACGTCACTTTGGCGAAACTGTATTTCCGCGTTGCGCCGCGTGCGATGAGGTATCCGTTGTCCCTCCATTGTCATCATAAACATTCGTTGTTGTTTCGTTTTCTAGTTAATCTTTGCCAAAGAATACACCCAAGCGGAAAACAAATCGTGGCACCTAAAACACTTTTGTTGTTTTCATTGCGATAAACCTCTTGCAGGTCATCGGTACATGTACAAACTGGATCAACCGTACTGCCTCATATGCTACGCCCAGCTTTTCGCTAAGGTAAGAAGTGTCGTTATTGTTAGGGTTATGTTACCCTGTTTATAAATGGTTTGTCATTTCGGAAATGTCCCCTATTCTGTTGGACGTGGTAGGTTTCGTAAATTAGCGACCAAGTAGCGTATAGCGTTAAGAAGTACGAAATGAAACGGGTTCGTTGCGCAGAACACTTAATCTAGCTCATCTTCAAAAAATTATTGCCTACGCAACACATCCTTTCCACGAGGGTTTTCAGAGATGTTATCCAGCAACAAACCAGATCAAAGCGTATCCTATGCCGACGTGAAACGACATGTTTAGATGATCAGCCATCCCGTTTGCAACCAGTTACCCAATTGAATCTCTGACGACATGACGGGATTATGAAATTAAATGTAGATAATATGACAACAACATGTTTTACTTCTCTTTTGTAACACTGTATCTTTTATAGATATTCTCATACGTAGGTAGTGAAACTAATTCCTGTTCTGGCGGGAATATAGAATAAATTAATCCACATAACCGATTCTATTTCCTTCATGCCAGTCTGTAGTCTGTAGAGCCACCACCAATTGAACATACCTGACATGAAACTATCATCTGCATGGGAATGAGGAAGCGCGTTTGCATTGCATAGACATCGAATTATTTTACCCTCGGCAAATACATTGAGTTATTTACCGTGTCTAACCAGAATGAGATTTACTTGTTGCTTTAATTCGATGACCCACCCTCATTTGCAGATGTCTTCTGTGGTGTTTTGCAGAACGGAATGCGGAATGAAAAAATTTCCACAGTTTCGTAGG